TCACCTTCGCCTGTGCCCTTGGACCCACGGCTGATTGGGCTCCACTTTGAGCGCTGTGACCTGCAGCAGGGTCTGCGCTCCAGTGGGAGAGGGGAACGGCTGGTAGGTCGCTCCGTTTCTGGAGAGGTGAGATGCCAGCTAGCCGGGCTTCTAGAGAAATGATATGGAATTTCAATCTGGCTCCACCCCACTCAGCTGCTGCTTCCTAATGGATTTCACCTGGGAAGCCCTAATTCCTCTCAGAGCTCTCTCTCGCTCTCTCTCAGGTCATGGTGTGTTTTCGCTAAAGGTTTCCTCCAGCCCCGGCTTCTTCAAGCTTCCGCACAACGATCAAAGACGCATTTCTGAAGCACCCATACTGTTACAGACAAGACAGCGCCGATGGAGTTCGTGGGGACATTCCATCGTCCTTTCATTCCATCTTTCCACAACGTTTGGAAGTCCTCTGACATCACAGTTTGGGTATAATCACGATGCATTCGGTCACAGATAAAGACAAGACTGTACAGGTGTGCTTAGTGGGCGTGTTAATAACAGTGAAAATATGGGAATCATCTCCAAATAAAGATGTTCTTAAATAAACACGATGGGAAACTAGGCAGCAGTGAGATCGCAGGTGGAGAAAGATGATTCTCACAGCGTCTGAGGATTACCCGCATCAGAATCCCGACCATCCCGAACTTGTTAAAAATATCGGTTTCTGGGCATGGGTCCAAGCCCTAAATCCGCATCTCTGGAATCTTTATTTGAGCGTGAATCAGAATTGATTCGATGACGGTAAATTTGGTTTGGGTGAGGCCCGTGATACTTACCTCACATTACACTTCAAGACTGCGACCACCACGCGAGCGCAGTTCATTCTGGGGAGCAATGATCGCCATATGTTGGTAAATGAAAGCAAGGGTTCAGAGAAAGTGAGGGCAGAGCCTTATTTTTAAAGTAGACTAGAGAGATAAACATATAGCTGGATAATCCTGAAAAGGCGCATGACCAAGTAATAGTGGTTAGAAGGGATTTATGGAATCCTATTTTCCTCTGACTTGTTTGATTGTTGTGTGTAATTTCTAAATTTCCAAAATGACCTTCTACTTCATGAGATTTTCGAAATCAAAGGTGATTCTTTTGTGTGCATGACATATGAGGTTGCTTCCCAACGTTCATGAAAAAAAAAAAAAAATGGAATTGAAAGATAATGGAAGTTTTCCAGAAACTTTTTGAAGACTCCCGCATATATAGGAAGAAAATTATACAGGACTTTTTCTTATAACAGATTTAAAATAAATGTTTAAAAATCTAACAAACACACACACAAACTTGAGACCTCTGTACCACAAAATGAACATTGTAAATGAAGAATTAGGAACAAGAAAACTGTAAGCTAGCTCCTGGTGGTTCAACGCTGGGCTCCTGGCGGCAGGGTCAAGAGTCCCAAACCAGCAGCAGCTTCAGGAGAATGAGAAGGTGCTAAGTCAGCTCTGGGATCGATCTGCAGCCTCAGGAGGAAGTGGAATATGTGATGATACACATTGGCGAAATCGCAATGGGTGAATTGAAGCACAATGTGTATGAATTGTTGGATGTAAAGCTGATCATCTGCTCGCTAAACCTTCACCTAATTCACAAAAGGTAAAAAAGAAAAACACTTTTAGCATCACAAACTGTACATAATAGAGTTCTTATGAATCAGAAGCCATTCAATCGTCAGAGGTGGGTATCGATATTAATATAAAACAAAGTTGGAGTTAAAATTTATAACCAAGAATACATCACCCCTAAGCTTCTGTATTATTTCTAAAGTGAGCTACGCATTTGTTTCTGCCACCATCAACTGATAGATCAGAAGACATGGAAGGGCAGGAAAAGGGAGAAGTCAAGGATTACTTAAAAGTCTTATTTTGGAAAACTGCTTTCTAGATTATAGTGCCCTTAGTGAAAACAAGAGTGCCCTGGTGGCATCGGGGTACACATCGGGCTGCTAACCTCAAAGGATGCAGTTCGGGGTGGGGGTGGGGGGGTGTAAGATGAGGCTTTCTACTCCTGTAAAGAGTTACAGTCATGGAAACCACACAGACAGTGCTGTCCTGTCCTAGAGGGTCACTCTTAGTCAGAAGTGACTCTACGCCATGAGTGACCAAAATACTAAGCTGTAACTCATTTTCTTCATAACCTCCCCGAGTCCAAGATAGTGGTGTCTCCTTGGGCTGCTAATGCCGTGGTTCAGAACCACCATCCAATCGGTGGGCCGTCAGAGTCTATAAAGACGAGAAAAACCCCGGGGAGCCCCTCTGCTCCGCCTTGTGGGGTTGCTATGAGTCAGAATCAAGCAGGTGGCTGTGGGTGGAGGTGGGTTCAAAGAAGCACCAGCAGAAACGTTCCATTCTCTGCAGCTGGAGGTCGTTGGCTAAAGACTGTCTGTCCCACGGGCCATGTTTGAGACTGGAGCTCCCGTACGCTTTATGTCCTCCATACATGTCAGGAACTTGATTTTCTTTTAATGGACAGAGGACTTGAATGGGTATTCTTCTCCCAAAAAAACACAAATGGTCCACGTCCACAAGACAAAATGGTCGGCAGCATTAGTCACTGTTGTGATTGTCAGTTGACGCTGAGTTGATCCCAACTCACGGTGGCTGCAAGTATGCAAAATAAAAACTGCACTCGACAAGGTTGTTAAAGTTGTGACCTTTCAGAGCCGGGCTATCTTCTGAGAAGCTTCTGGGTGTGTTCCACCCACCATTGGTTACGCCAGGCTTAACAGTTTGCACCTCCCAGGGGGGCTTCCTTGTGAGTCATTAGAGAAAGGTAAATTGGGAGAAAAGAAGGGGGGGAAAAAAACGCCCCCAAAGGGCATAGGGAGAGACAGGGCACAGGCTTTCTTTCAAAGTGATAGCAATGCCCTGGCACTAGATAAAAGGCAAACTGTAGCACTTTGTACTTATGGCATACATTTGGTTGTTTAAGCGGAGCAAAACAAAAAACCACAGACAAATTTGAAGCACCTGTACTACAAAACAAAATACATTTTTAAATGAAGAATTAGGAAAAAAGGAAACTATAGGATTTGTCAAAAACTATGGACATTAAAAAGAAAAGACCTAAGTGACTGTCAGGCGAGATTGTCCAACTTGCTCTTGAAAGTAGAGTAGCTGAAGTGAGTGGAAGAAATGATATCAAAGAACTGAGCAGAGATGTTCGAAAGGCAGCTTGAGGAGACAAAGAAATGCCTCATAATGAAATGTGCAAAGACCTGGGGTTGGAAAACCAAACGGGAAGAACAAGCCCAGCGTAGTTCACGTCGAGAGAACTGAAGAGGAAATTCAAGCCTCAAGTTGGAATATGGAAGGAGTCTATGAGCAAAAAACGAAATGGTGCAGGAAACATCAAAAGAGGGGAGCCGGAATATACAGAGTCACGGTACTGAAAATAATTGATGCATTTGAATTAAGGTTGGCAACAAACATTGCAAATACCATGGACTCCCAGAAAACAAACAAATCTGTCTTGGAAAAAGTACAGCCAGAATGTTTCTTAGCAGCAAGGACGGTGAGATTTCATCTCACATACATTGGACAGGAGAGGAAGACCCCAATTCTCAGTGAGACATTAGCACAGTGGCAGCAGCAATCGGCTCAGAAAAAAACACTAATTGCTGGAATGATGAAAGACATCACAGTGTTTCATTCTGTTATGAACCTCTTTGAGATTGCGCCAACTCAACAACGCCTAACAATACTAATAACTAGAGCTATCCATAAAGACACAGAGTGAAGAGTAAGGTCAGTATCCAATAATACACCGCTCAAAGCTTCGATATGGTTTCTAAAATGGGCTATCCATTTGGCTCTTTCTACTGTCTGTGATGCGGAGACCACGGGAGATTAGAGAAGGTCCCTGAATCCTACACTTTAATGTTAATCTTAGGCTATGGGAATTTTCCTTCAAAAAGCACTCAGTAACTTCTAGGGTCACGTCACAGTCGTTTGTTAAAGTAAAACACAACCATACTGAATTTCTCTACAAGAAAACGTTGGTGAGGTAGTGAAATAACGAGTTCAGCTTTTGATGGCTGCATTTGAGATGTTCCTGAGGCATCCAGGTGAGCCTGTCCAGACTCACTGAGAAGTGCAAGGTGAGGTCCCAAGAGAAGTGCACACGCGAGCTCTAGACTTGACAGGTCATCAGACTGGAGGGCCAGGGTAAAGCTATGCCTGTGGGTGGGTCCTCCAGGGTCCCTTACAAAATGGGGTCACATATGAGCCCCAGTGGAAACAATACAACCAGAGGCCCCTGAATCTTTCTTGAAAAGGTTCTTCATCAATGTGGCCTTTATATTCATTATTTTATTTCTTTTTAATCGAATGAAACTTGGGTACCTAGGTTTTTTTTAAACTTCCAGGAAAGCATCTCTTCGATGTGCTTGGAGTTCTAAGGTTTGCCACAATTGGTTTTGGGGGGTTTGTATGTGTGTGTGTTTGGTTTTGGGGTTTTTTTTTAATGGCTGATGATGTGTGCATTACCGAAAAAACAACCACAGACACACCTCAATCCTTCTCACCTCTCTGTGCCTGAAGAAGTGTGAAGGTGAGTTCTCCCTTTGCTTTCCCAGCATTTGATCCAGGGTGTTTGTGGTGGTTTTTGGACGACCACGGATGCGTCGTAAGACGTGCGTGATGCTCTGGCTGACATGAAGTCTGGGGAATCTGCTCCCAATCTGCTCTAATGTTTCACATAGAACAAATCTCAGGGGTCAACAAATATTCAAAATGGCATTTTAAAAGGGACATCCGGTAAAATTTGGAAAGTATTTAAGCTGGATGATAGGTGTGTGAGTGTTCATTGTGTGATTTCTCCCACGTGTTGTTTTTAAATATTAATAATTTTAAATACTTTATGAGTTGGGACATCATGTTTAATTCTGTAATGATTTACACTTTTTACACACCTAATGAGTGGAAATTTGATGCCACCTGGCTTCTTTCTTCTTCTTCTTTTTTTATTTATAGGGGAGAGCGCGAACGCAGTCCCCCACTACCACAAACTATGCAGTCCACATTTGGGGAAACCACAGGGGTCAGCACATCTGGAGTGCAGTGGATAAGCCTCGCCCTGGGAAAACCACCTTCGTGATCATGGTACCGCCCCTGCCAGGTAAGTATGCCACCTGGCTTCTTACTGAAAGGTTGGTGGATTAAACCCACCAGCAGCTCGGAAGGAGAAAGATGAGGCGGTCTGCTTCCCTGAGGATTGACGGTTCATCCTTGAACATCCTGTAGGGGAGTTCCACTCTGTCCCATCGGGTCCCGAAGAGTTAAATTTGACTACAAAGCAGTGGCTGTGTTTTATCTTTTTAATATTTTATTGAGAATTGGGTGAAGTTTACAGAGCAGATCAGTTTTCCATTCAACGGTGCATACATATTTTATTTCATCTCATTGACTGTAACCTCCAATATGAGACATTACTTATCCCATTTCTTCCCTGGGTCTGCTGTTTCCATTCCCCGTTCCTAACTCTTTTGAATTTTGTCCTTGGGCAAATTCTTCCCTAAGCAGGGTATTTTCATGTGACAAGTACCTACATGATTCAGATACAATTGCTGAAGACAAATGGGTGCATAAGCAAATGTGGTGAAGAAAGCTGATGGTGTCCAGCTATCAAAAGATATAGCGTCTGGGGTCTTAAAAGGCTTGAAGGTAAACAAGCCACCATCTAGCTCAGAAGCAACAAAGCCCACATGGAAGAAGTACACCAGCCTGTGTGATCCTGAGGTATCGAAGGGATGAAATATCAGGCATCAAAGAACAAAAAATCATATCATTGTGAATGAGGGGGAGTGCAGAGTGGGGACCCAAAGCCCCTCTGTAGACAACTGGACACCCCCTTACAGAAAGGTGATGGGGAGGAGACGAGCCTGTCAGGGTGCAGTGTAGCAACGATGAAACATACAACTTTCCTCTAGTTCCTAAATGCTTCCTCCCCACCCACTATCATGATCCCAATTCTACCTTACAAATCTGTCTAGGCCAGAGGATGTGCACTGGTACAGATAGGAACTAGAGACACAGGGAATCCAGGGCGGATGATCCCTTCAGAACCAAGGGTGAGAGTGACGATACCGGGAGGATGCAGAGAGGATGGATTAAAAAAGGGGAACCGATTACAAGGATCTACATATAACTTCCTCCCTGGGGGATGGGCAACAGAAAAGCGGGTGAAGAGAGACATCAGACAGTGTAAGATATGACAAAATAATAATTTATAAATTATCAAGGGCTCATGAGGGAGGGGGGGAGCAGGGAGGGAGGCGAAAATGAGAGCTAATGCCAGGGGCTTACGTGGAGAGCAAATGTTTTGAGAATGATGAGGGTAACGGATGTACAAATGTCCTTTACACAATTGATATATGTATGGATTATAATAAGAGTTGTATGAGCCCCCAATAAAATGATTTAAAAAAATAAAATTAGAAAGTACCTACATGATGGACTGGTGTGGTGAACTAGTTTCCTATCACAAAACACCTTTCGCTAGCAATTAAACCTTAGGTTAATACAGACAAAACAATGAGAAGGGTTTTTTAATTCATGAAATTTTAACAAATTAATATAATTAAAATGTTGAAAACAAACTGTGCAACCAAAAAATCCATTGTCACCGTTGTTAGGTGCCATCCGGGTGTTTCCTATTCATATCAGTCTAATGTACAAAGGAAACACCGCCTAGTCCTGGTAGTCTCACAACAGTTCCTCTGTTTGAGTCCATGGCTGCAGCCCCAGTGCCAATCCATCTCACTGAGAGCCTTCCTCTCCACTGCTGCCCCTCCACTTTCCCACGCACGATGTCCTTCTCCAGGGATGGCCTGTCCAAACTGTAGGAGGGACATCTTTGCCCCTGAGGAGCACTCTGGCCGTATTGTTCCAAGGCAAATTTGTTTTCCTGGCGGTCCGTGGCACCTTCAATATTCGCCAGCACCATAACTCAAATACATGGACTCCTCAGTCTTCCGGTCCGTGGTCAACTTTCACATGCACATGAGGCCGCCGAAGGTACCGAGGCTCGGGTCAGGCACATCTTAGGCCTCAGAGGGATATCCTGCTCATCAACACTTTAAAGAAATCGGTGCAGCAGACTAGCCTAGTGCAATAATACTGTTTCATTTCTTCCTGCTCTTTCCACGCACACTGATTGTGGATGCAGGCAAGATTAAATTACTGACAACTTTGACCTTTGCTCTGTTTATCATGGGGTTCTCTATGTATTCTGTTGAGAGGATTTGGCGTTTTTTCACACTGAGTGCAAGCCACACGAAAGACTGCAGTCTACCAAGAATTCCATGAGCTTGTCCTTTATCTAAGTGTTTCTGAAATGGCAAGCACTTTGTGGGCCTTGCCTGGGCCACAGTCGTGCTTGTGGCACTCCTGAGGGAGGTTGAAGCGTCCTGTTGGCACAGCGGTTAAAGCTCTCACTGCTGTGATCTGCTTCTGTGTAGATCACAGCGTTGAGAAACCTCTGGGGCAGGTCTGTCTAGTCTGCCCTGTGTGCTTGCCGAGAGTCAAGTAGCTCAAAGGGAATGGATTTGCTTTGCTTGGGGTTTCGTGTTTGCAGCTAGGCTGTACTGGACTCTGCCCAGACGCTGACAGAGGTGGCCCTGTCTGCTTTCATGCATTTCAAGGTCAGCCCCCAGAGGACACTCACAGATTCAGATCCAAGGCTATTTTCTCTTCTTTTTTTTCAATAATATATTATTTTTTTAAATCATTTATTAGGGGCTCATACAACTCTTATCACAATCCATACATACATCAATTGTGTAAAGCACATTTGTACATTCAT